CACACACACACACACACACACACACACACACACACACACACACACACCTCCAGCTGCTGAAGTCTCAGGCCCCATGATCCTGACAGAAAGGACAGGCACACCTGTCAAATAACACAGTCCTATGTTTCAGTTCCAGTAGTGAGAACAAGGAAGAGAAGGCAATTCAGGATTCTGATTTCTGTTGTGAAGTATATCACATTAGTTTGTTTTTGTCACTCCTTTAATTATATGATCACCACAAACATGCTAAAGCCCCTATGGTTTCTGTTCTGGTGTCTTCTCAAGGAGGCCACCTGCACCCATGGTGCAGACATAGGACCCTCTCCAGGCACAAGGGTGGGGCTCTGGAGAAGCCAGCATTGCTCAGACCCCTTTCCACACCCTTGAAGAAAAAGGGAACTGCAACCAACCATGAGCTGTCAGAGTGCCCAGTTCTTCCTCCTCAAACTTCTCAGAGTGGCAGGCAGCCCCCTGAGGCTTTTTCAGCACAAGGGGACTTTGTGAGTGATTAAAATGATTAAACCAATCTCTAAAACTTGATTTTTGCCTGCAGAGAACTTTCATTTTGAAAACAAAATGTAAAAAAAATTACAGCCCCACCTCTTTTTCTGAGTGATGGGCTTCCCAGAAGACACAGAATAGCAAAGTGCAGCAGTGGCTGAGAGCCTCTGTTAGATCTTCCTACCTCTGAAGCAAGCCCCCTGCCAGATCTGCCCTCCTGAGACCCTTGTTAGGAGTACCCAGAGGTGCACCAGCTCAGAGCACTCAGGGAAACCTCTGCCTCACTCTCCAAGCAGCTGGTCTTGGCTGGGAGGACAATGTCCTTGTGGGAACTTCTCGTTGTTTGGCCTGAACAACTACAGCTACCTCTCAATAGGCCTCTTCCTACCTCTGCTCACATTTCAAACCCTGGACAGCCCTGGACTCAGGGAAATTTCATTCATACACCTGCTCCTGCCATCCTCTGCTTAAAACCTCCCAGCAGTCCCCATCACCCGCCTCAGGTGACCAGCAGTCCCATCATACTCAGTGTCTTGCACTTTCACTCCCTAGTACTGCCCCTATCCAGCCATTTACTCCCAGAGGAACGCAGTCCCCTACATGGGACCCCAGTTGAGGCTTCCTCTCACCTCCAGACTTCTCTTCTACTACCCCCTTAACACATGGGTTTCCCATCAAAATCTAATCCTCAAATATAAAGGACCCACTCTTTCCCACTTTAACCCTCTGCAACTTCCTCCCAGTTCTTCAGACCCAAACCCCAGAGACACTCACAATTCCTCTCTCTGTCCCTCTCATCCTCAAATCTGTTTACTTTACTGGCAAGTCCCATCACCTCTCCCTTTGAAAAGGTGCTTCCCCATCACTATCCACCTGGTCCCGGCCACCTCATCTCTCCTCTGGCACTCCCAAAGCCTGTAGCTTCCACTCTGCAAGGTGTTCTCAATGCCAGCAAGAGGGTCCTGTTAGGAAAGGTCAGACTAAGTCAGGCTTTTTAAGAAGATCAGAGCCAACACCCCCATGGCATTTCGCAGCACCACCCCTGCCATCCAGAAAGGAAACTAGCAGACAATACAACCAACATACACACCAGACTGCAAAAAACCCATGTTGCCCCAACTAAAATGTAACACGGAAATGAAAGATGGTGTCATATAACACATGACCTTCAGTATTGGTCATGACCACACTACAAGTTCAAGGGAGGTAGTCAGAGAACCACCTAATGAAGACTGCCACAAATACACCAGCATCTCAGATACTCAGAACCTGCTGTGTCCATGAAATGTCCCACCACCGGAAACAGAGAACAACTCTTCGTAAAGTTCTGCAAAGAACAAAATACAATCACCCTTAATTTACAAGGTAGTTTCTTTCCTAGAAAATTCAGAACATCTACTAAAACCAAACACACACACACACACACACACACACACACACACGTTGACTCCATACATAAACAGAATTAGGTTTAAGATATAAACAGATTTTTCACCTATATGAAAGTCATGCTGAATGCATTCTTGCTGCTAAACGTACTAAATATCAGTATTGCCTCTCACCATTGGCAGAGCCCAAAATCCTCCCACAAGTTCCCAAAATACCCTTTCTGTGGGGCTATCCCTCAAAGGACCACTGGTACACACCAGCAGGCTTCTCTCCCCTCCTGTGCTCCTGGCAGGTCTCCAAAACCACTAAGTGCACTCCCACCTAAGGGCCTTTACACTTACTGTTCCCCTGCCTGGGAGAAGCTTCTTGTTTCTCCCAAAGACCCACAGGACCCCCACTCCCTTATACCTCTACTCAAATGGCACCTCCTCCCCTATCCTCCTGATAGGTCTGACTCAGTGCCCACTCCTTTTACTGTGTCCTGTTGGCCTGCTTTTCCATTCCATTCACTGCCATGGCCCTGCGTCTCCACCCAGCCTTATACTTTGCCAGTGAGTACTCCTCTGCCCAGAACTCACGCACCTTCCTCCACCCATCTCTCTATCTCCACCTGTCTTTTTCTCTACTGGCCACCTCCCTGGGCATCCAAGAGATTCACTGTCAAGAAGAGGAGAAAAGAATCATAAAAGAACATTTATCAGGGCCTTAAGTATGAAAAAGTAGAAAGATTAATCATACACATATGCTTTTCTGAAAAATCAGTTTGTCAGAAAAAAAACCCTATCAACTCAATGATGAATTTCATACTGGTTTAAAAGTATACATGAGTGTGATGGAATCTGAACATTCCTTTGACATTCCAGTGAGGAGGAAATCTGGGCTGTAGAGACACAGATAACTACTCAGGGCAAACACGTCCAGCTCAGCAAAGTTCAATACCACAGGAGAGGTGTGTACACAATCTGCTTCCTAAACCTGCCCTCAGGTACATGCAACCAGTGACTTAAAATATATTTTCAGTGATCTCCCCAGGAATCTGCAAGATCTCATATCACTTTGACGAAAGAGAAATGCTAAAAGCTATTTTAAGCAAAGTTACATCACCAAAATTGACAAAAGATACAGTATTTTAAATATAAATTAATAGATTCAATCAGTTAGGAACTGCATGCTCATCTACAGATGATAGAATACTTGACAGGAAAACACACTCTTAACAGCAATTTTTAAAGACATCCTTTATTCTGAAACCTGTGATCAAAACATAGGCACATCTAACTTTGCCTTCGTTCCTACTCTTCACATATAAGTCTAGACAGAATCTTGAAACTGCTTTCTTGGCCATTTGTCCCTAAGTCAAACTGACAGGACACTTAAAAACTTCACGTTAAAAATTTCCAGGACCTCAGAGACCTAGTACTATTAAGCTTTCTGTTTAGCTCCCACATACATCACTGCAAAAATAATTTGATGTACAATACAAACTGAAAGATG